GTATTGGATTTTTTCTTGATACAAAATTCTATCATAAAGGTGCATAAATTGTTTCTCTGCCTATTTAGCGATACATCGTATACGTGGCCACCCATATGAGTACAATTTGTAGTCAACCATGCCATGGTAAGAATTTCCAACGTGTCCGAATCATTTGAAGTGGTATTGACTTTGGTGGACGGATGCCTTCAAAATCATTCCCCTACGATAAATTATCAAAGAAATGGCTGTGTATCTTGACTTGTTGCTATAATACAGGCACTAAGATAAATAAATGGCCTTGATCAATGGAATCATCCAGTTGTCTGAGATTCGGACTCCATGTGGAAATGGAGGTGGGTACAACAGCATGCAAAATTCAAGCAGCTTCCACTTTCTGTATAAATAACAATGGGTGCAATAAGAAAAAGAAAAAGATTTTTTTTTGTTTAAATCTGAAAAATACATTTTAAAGTTTCCCATTAGAAGTTGAAGAGTGGTAGGGTACTGTTTTTCATTTAATTTGAAGCTCCCATACTGAGTTGCTTGTAATTAAAAGGCATACGAGTTTAGTGATTACTTTCCTGTTTTTCTTATAGCTTTATTTTGTGAAACTAAGAAAAATAATACCAAATAGTGTGTCAATATGTTTAGAGTTTCAGAATACTATAACAAAAGGCCTTACGTTCTCTTACGTAATTCTCCCATATGTGTTTGTTGAGTCGCCGGCGCTTTCGTGAGTCCAAGTGACTAGGAGATGCGAGATGGAATATCTTCAGATAGTGCATAATGATTAAAGGATGTAGTGTCTCATTCAACCATCGTCATTCAAACTAAAATGTCTTACACGAAAATGATTTGTACACCTCATAAAGTAAAACTGATAAAATGAGAGTTTAGCTGTTTTGTTTCCACTAATGCAAAAGAACGGAATGTGTAGACAATACATAATGGTTAGCATAAATTATTAAATAAACCTTGTGAATTATAACAAAAGTAAATAAGGATTACAAATAGTTTTTCAGTAACATTTTACTTGTGGAATAGTATTCGTAATTCTTACATATGATGTATTTCCTTTTCCGTCTTTTTGGCTTCGCTTCATAAATGAATTAATCAAAACGTATTTAAGCAAAATAACTACGCACTGTACACAGCGTGTGAATACATAAATTACCTCGATATTTAGATTAGTACTGCATTAATAAGCAATAAATCGCACTGCCTTCATAACCGAGGATTTACTCTAATCGATCGCTGATGCAGGTGATGCGCGAGGGGGCAGCGTGGGTGACGATGCTTCGTGAACCTGCGTCGCATTTTCAGTCGTTGTGGAACTTCTATGGTCTTCGAAAGGTACTCACGCTGTTCCCTGTGAATTGACTATTTATCTGTATACATTGTGCAGGCTAGTGTATCCTGTTAATTCAATCATATTTTACAAATGGATATACAATATGCACAGTGTGTTTCCTAATAGAAAAATAGATATTTTCTCCCTCCACCTGTGTGTGTGTGTGTGTGTGTGTGTGTGTGTGTGTGTGTGTGTGTGTGTGTGTGTGTGTGTGTGTGTGTGTGTGTGTGTGTGTGTGTGTGTGTGCTGTGCTGTGTATGTTGTATGTGTATACCTAAACACACACACACGCATGCACACAAACGTATACACACACACACATACACATACATACACACGCAAACAAAAGATAGATTGATAAACAGAAAGACTGTTATGATTTGTGACTCTCCATGATTATTGTAGGTGTTTATGCCTCTGCACGTATCTCATTAGCCCATTTCCACTTCCCGCAATCAGCATCTGAACATGAATCTGAGCGAGTTGCTGGAGCTTCCGTACGCGAAGGCCAACGACAAGAGACGACTGAATAAATTTGGGCTCAATATGCAGATGTTCGACCTCGGCTTCGACCCTACCCAAGAGCCCTCCGAGGACGACCTTCGCGCTGAGTTCGACAGGCTGAACCGACGCTTTGACCTGGTGATGATTCTGGAGAGGTTCCAGGAGTCGCTCGTCCTCCTGAAGCACCTGCTGTGCTGGACCACGGACGACGTCGCCTACCTCAAGATCAACGCGCTGGGCAGCCGCGCGAAGTACAATTTCACGGCCGAGGACAAGGCTAGGGTACGGGCACTGAGCACACACGACATGGCACTTTATGACTACTTTTCAAAACGATTCGACGAGAAGGTAAGGCAATTCGGGAAAACTAAGATGAAGTGGGAACTTGAACAGCTTCAGAAAGCTAACGATTTCTTACAACGAAAATGTTTCGGAATATCAGAGCTAAAGGATGCAAAAGTCCTTTCACTTTGTAAAGACTTGAAAGCCAGGGAAAAGTCTTTCCTGAATAATATGAGGAGACGGCAGTTGCGAGAGATCCAGAAAGGTTTGCTGTAGCATCAGCACGCGCTGCTGCTTAAGCTGTTTTTTTGTTTTGTTTTGTTTTGTTTTATTTTGTGTGTTTGTCATAAAAACACATATTTAAACCAGGCGTAAATATTC